GAGAAGCCGACCGTCCAACCTGAAACACTTTGCTGATCCAATGCAATCGCCGTCACAGTGTGCTCTGTTTTGGATAGCAAAATGCTGCGTGATATCCTGTGATATCACTCTCCGACAGACTATTCAGCTGTCTTCACGTGCTCATATGCNTCTATATTGACACAATCATTTTACGATCTATATTCGAAGTAAAGATAGGAATGTAGTGAATTTTTTGCTGAAAAATACAGTAGATTGTTAATGTTCATTAAAGTTTGAAGGCGATGTTGTTCCAGCACTCTCAAATTTCAACCCATTCGTGGGCGCTCATTTGCGATGGTTATCGACTGCCGCTGCTCCGGAATGCAATCGTTTCGTTCATACCATGCCAACGATTGCTTCATCGCCTCTTGTTGATCGAAAGGCGGTACGAAGTCGAGCAGAAGGCGTAGTTTTCGATTCGAGAAGCCGACCGTCCAACCTGAAACACTTTGCTGATCGAATGCAATCGTGTCACTAGGTGCTCTGTTTTGATAGTGAATTGCTGCGTGATATCCTGTGATATCACTCTCCGATAGACTATTCAACTGTTTTCACGTGCTCATATGCTCGATGTCCATGGATGCAAATCAGACGAAGTTTATTTCAAAACAGAACAAAATGCATTGAAGAAACATTTATTGTACAGTTGCAAAGGTTTTACCGTTGAGAAAGCGATGTGCATTCAGCGTTAGATGATCGCGACATGTGCCAGGATCGAATTTGGACAAGAGTGATGTATAGGCTGCCGAGATGAACGAACGCAAATAACTTTGCGCTTCACAATGCTTGAAACCAGCGGCCTTCATGTACGGTAATATGAACTGTAATCATACAATGTAATAAGAACCACTCTTAAAGTCTACTATTAACTTTATTCATTTTCATCGCAAGTTTGCATGACAACTGAATGATTTTCAAAGTTTTCGAGAACCCCATCACGATGTGTTTGTAACTCAAAGTTGCCATCGTTTAGTGTCATCCTCGAAATGACAAGTCTTAAAAGGAATTCTAAAGGAGCAAAATAATTATTGTACATTGATTTATAGAAAGCGATGTGCACAGAAATTCAAAAATAGTTGTATCGATTCCACAATACGGTGATTATAGTTCGTTAATCTAAGGTACGATCTATATTTATTGCGATAAATTTCACTAAAATTTTTCTGCGATTTTATCGGTCGTCTCCAAAAAACAAATTTGACGACGTTTTTTTTTGTCGCCCGAGTATGAGAGGAAAGTTCCTCATTGATTCATACTATTAAGTAGACATCGATCATAGTACATTTGTAAACGTTTTGCTGAACGCAAAAGAAAAGTGTTCGAAAAGCAGACGTCTTCAAAAATTTTCGTTTCAGTGTTAAATGTTGTTTTTTTTTGTTTCTTCAGTCTTCTACTTGGAGTCAAAGAAAGCAAAATGGACGCACTGAATTGTTGACATGGAACCAAAATTGCACTTTTTTAATGAGAATTTAGTGTATTATTATAAGGTTTGTCAGACAGTCGATTTATGCAGTTAACAACCGTACGTCTTTGAAGGGTGTGCACGTAGTTCGATCAACACAAAAAATCACTTCGTTATTGTACTTTTCGGGTTCGTCGATCAAGCACCGTAAACATCGCTCCATGATCGCTGCCATATTACCAGCGTATATCTTAATGTGTACTCTATCAAGATCACAATTCAAAGCGTACAAGACATTCATTGTCCACAAAAATTAATTAGTCACTTCAACCGGTTCGCTTTCTTAGGATCGTCTCGGTGCATTCCATGAAAGCATAACATGAAACTGCAGTTACTGAAACGACGTCTGCTTAATACGTTCGTGACATGTACAGACAATCGACGAGTAGATGTTTTAGCAGGAAAGTGAAAAATGTTTCAGAATGGTACTAACAAACTGATGATTGCCTCGATCATCGCCATTTATATTCGGTATTCCGCCTTGCGCCATGCAAACCTTCTTGGCCATCGATACCAAATGTGGTTCCCCTTCACCGAATATGAACGTGGGACGAAGAATTATCGCGCTCACTTCACCTTAAATGAACCAAACCAAAGACATTAATTATCTCTTGAACGCAAATGAAACAAATTCTGTTGCATTGAACACCTTCATATTTCATATCGGACATGTTAATTTATGTGTTAAAGAGTTCTTTAATGAGCACATTTGAGTTGTCCACTACGTATGATTAGGGAATGTTGGCCAATTCGTCAAAACATGAAGCGAATTTTCAGACTTCCACAGAGTCAGGATGGATTCTAGGCGGATGGATATAGGAGTGAAGTGATAGGTACACATAACAAAACGCCACCTTTCTCAGCTGCTCTCCTGACCACAAATTCGGCACGAGCTTTTGATTCACCGTAGCAACCGAGCATGAAACGAGCCGGCAGTGTTTGATGCATGTACTCAGAAAGACCGTAGTTGTCACCGGGTGGTAAAACTGCGAAAGCATCTCCAACGTAGACAAGGCGTTGAATATGATTTTTCGTCATCACATCGAGTAAAATTTCTGTTGCTGAAATGAAACCATTCAACTCGCCGATATCTAAACTCTTTTCTAACAATAAGTACGCATTCCACTCGAGAAATATCGCTATTTCAACCAAAATCTTGCGAAATTCGTTTGGAAAAACCTACAACGTCAAATTCCTCAATTGCTTAATTTCAACTGTAACTTAATGGAATACATATGGAAGTATTCAACAATATTAAGATGCTTTCAAAGAACTCTTTTGGAGAGGTTAACAATTGCTACATAATCATTTTGTTTATTAGGCCGAATGTAGATTTCAAAAACTTGCGAAATTTTTGAACTC